GTTTGAGGGGAAAGAAAATTTTCTGAATAATTTGTGTATTTGTATTTGAAACCTCATGAAACTACTCTACAGAGACCCAGGTACCCCTCTACGGCAAAAACCGATACAAAAGGGATCAGATCCAGACAAGCGGGATATCAGATTCGTGATCTAGACGACAAGGACTCTCGTATTATGACATTTCTAGCGTGCATTAAAATTAATGTTTTTTCGAGCACCCCCTTTATAGTAGATTTTTTTTGAAATATCTTACCTTTACGCATCCATGTTATATTATCTCGATTAGCAATAGTTGCACCAGTAAATGTTGAACCATTATTTCCACCCCAACCAACAAGCATTACACCTGTACGTTGTACTTGACGTTTTGTACGAAATATATATTGATATTTTCTTGGAATAATTTCCACACGTTTTGTACTTTGATCAACTTCACAATGATTCATATCATATATATATTTACTTTCAATAAATTCATTTGTATATGTTGTATTTTTACTATCAACATGAATCGAATAATCGGATGTTACACCTAAATAGATATGAAAATTATATATTAATCCAGAGAGATATTTTCATTCTTCTACCATCATGATCAGCAGGATTAAGTTGATTATCTTCACTAAGTGTATTAACTTCAACAACAGCTGTTGATTTCGAATCTTGTTTCGTCAATGGTGTATGCCCATTCGTTGCCATTTTACTTTTTTATATACTAAAACAAAACAAAAAAAATTATTATAATTCATTCTGGACGGATGAATGGAACTATCAAATTCCATTTATTATCGCCAAATATCTGAGAAAAAGTTTGTTTCTGTCTAAATATCTGTTTTTTTTCTTCATACTGTGTTTGTCCATTCAATGATCGTTTGATCATTTGATAAAATAATCTACTTATAAATACAATATCAAAATAAACAAGATAATGATGAACACCAATGAATGCTTGCCATTTTGTTTCAACAAATCCAAGAACATAACCAATATTAAAAAATAAAATTTTAAAAATCGTTACAAAATGATATCCTCCCATTTCATTCCATAAAAAACTACAAACAAATGCATAACCAATAAAATGTGCACATAGAAGATGAAAAAGCATTAAAAGAAAATATTTTTGATTATGTCTACCAATACAAGTACCAAGAAAAAAACAATGATGATCTTGTATTGGTATACATTGTTGGCATATGTAACAATGATGTGATCGTTCTTCTACATAATTTAAACAAGCATGACAATATTTATTAGTAATTTTTTTCTCATTATGGAATGATAAAGAAGAAAATCTTGTTCGCATTAAATTAAAATAACCTTGACAAAAAAAATATAAAAAAATAATATTAAATATCACATATGTAGAATTCGATAATTGATTTCGTTCACGATAAGCTGGTACGACAATGAAATAGATAAAATAAAGTGCATAAAGTAATCCGATATAAGCATAACACCATGTCGTTTTATTTAAAGAACGCAAGAGAAAAATTTTCATCTAGAATATATATATAGATATCGAAGATTACTTGTCATACAAATTTATCTATCACAGATGTTATTTTTGAAAAACAATAAAAATGATATTATCCTATGTATTTTGAATATTCATAGTTACTTGTTCAAGTGCATTACTTAATAATTGAAATTTTTGTTGTTCATCAATTTCTATTAAATTTAATTTATATTCATTTTGAATATTTTCTAATTGTTTTTGTTCGTCACCATGTGATACAATTGTTAATGAACAACCATAAGCACCAAAACGACCAGCACGACCAATACGATGTAAATATGTTTCATGATCATTAGGCAAATCCATTGATATAACAAAATCAACATTATCTAAATCAATACCACGTGATGTTAAATCAGTTGTAACTAAGATTTGACATTTATGTTTATACATATCACGCATAGCTTTTGTTCGACGATTTTGTGTTAATGAACTTGATGTATATGTTGTTTCATAACCTAAAGATTTTAAACGTTCACAAACAGCTGATGAACGCATACGAAGATTAGAAAAAATAACACATTGACGAAATTTTAATTGTGGTAATAAACGTAATAATAAAAGAACTTTTTGTTCAAATAAATATGATTCTATTGGATGATATGGAATTAAAATAAAATATTGTTGAATACCAATTAAACTTGGTGAGTCAGAATCAATTATACGTATACATGTCATATCACGCATATATCGTTCAGAAAAACGAACAATATATTCGGGATATGTTGCTGATGCTAATAAAACTTGTTTATTCAATGGCATATATGAAAATATAGAATTGATTTGATCCTAAAAGAAAAGATAAAATATATTAGTTTATTCATTTATATAAAGCAAAAGATTCAACAGATGAATTTTATACTTATGGGAAATACATCTCCTTTTAACTCTCAAGGTGAATAATAAAACTTGCGAGGTGATGTTATGCAGAAGGTGCAGAATATGGCCTTCTGCGCGAACGCGCGTTCGAGAAAAATTTTTGACTTCGAAATTTTTTCTATCGGGAAATAATAAGCAAATTTTATACGTAAATGATCTGATGTGTTCATTAGGATGGAGTATATTTTAAACATATTGTAGTCCTTTGTCTCTTTTCATTTCTTCAACAAAAATTTGTTTTACTTGAATACTGAGGGAAAGGTTTTGTTCGATTTTTCTGCGTTCGGGGAAATTTTTCGTTTTTACAGAAGATTATGCACCACTGGCGTTGCTGCTCTTAAAATTAATGAATAAAAATATTCAATGTAGTGTATCAACTTTGAAGGACACCCTGCCTTGAGCTCATCTCTGTAAAAACTATGTTAAATTAAACTTTTAAATTATTATAATAGACACTTAGAACTAATATAATTTTCTTTGTTCCGAGTTGATTAATGACTTTTATAATACTGTTCAGATTTATAAAATCTAGGTTATCCATTGAAAAAATAACAAGTCCCTTGGTATATATAATCAAATTTTTAAGTAGATTTGCATAAATATAAACATATACTTCAGACATTTCTTGTATGTAAACAGTGTGCTTTTAGCAACTGTTTTGTTTTTAATTATTTTAAAAGTATTGTATTCTTCTACTGTAAATACAATACATACTATGATGAGATCGACGTAGAACATGATTAATAATTTTAGTATTATCCTTTTCTTTTTCTTCTTCTAAAATAGTGTTTAAGAAAAAATAATTACTTGAAATTCTTTACATAATAATACATCGGCTTCATCTAAAACAAGTAATCGAATTGTATCAGCTCGAAGATATTTTAATCGAAGTAATTCTTCAATTCTTCCTGGTGTACCAACAGCAATATGACATTTTTTTAAATGATTTTGATCATCTTTTAATGCTGTACCACCAATAAACGTATGTACAATACATTCGGGTTGTTTTATAGTTTTAATTACTTGAACAATTTGTTGAGCTATTTCACGTGTTGGTGCAAGCATAATTACTTTTGTTGGTATTACAGTTGAATCTTCATCAACAATTTGTACAAATTCAAGAGCTGTTATACTAAAAACTAATGTTTTACCAGTACCAGATTTCGCTTGAATAAGAAGATCAACACCAACAAGTGCTAATGGTAATGCTTGTAATTGAATTGGTGATGGTTTAATAAATCCTGAATTTTTAAGTGAATTAATAGTTAGTTCTGATATAGCCAAATCTTCAAAAGTAACATTCTCATCTGTTTTTACATCATTTGTTAGACCTCTTTCAGCCATTAAGCTAGAGGAAAATAAAAAAGAAAGAAAGAAAAGACTAATAAAAAATCTGGAAAAGGAAAACTTCTTTTAATAATTATCTAGAGAATCATGTTTTCTTTTCTTACGAATATAAATTAAAACTATAATAGGTGTTTTCTCTTCAATGGAAATCAAAAATAAAAACAAAATGTTAATAATTGAATGAAATGATTATTTTTTTTTTATGTTGAGCAAAATATTTTCACATCGATATACTTCATAATATAAATATGTATGAAAGAAAACAAAATATATCACATATTTTAGAAAAAAAAACTGAAAAAATCACACAATTGAATATAATGTTAAAAAAAAGCATATCGCAGTAATATATGATTATTAGTCAAGAACAATAACACTTGGCGCTAACGATGGCTTTGATTTCGAAGATGTCTTTGAGCTATTATTTTGATCAAGTCTTGGTGATATCGATGGAATATTAATACATCGTGGTGATTTATTTGAAGCATTATTCATAGGTTCACAATCTAAATAAGAAATAATCATTATCTTGAAAATTTAAATAAGATCTTTACTTGTCGATTCTTTTGATAATTGAGTTAAACTTTTCTTTTTTGTTGGTTTTGAAACAGGAACAGTCGGTTCTCGATAATTATCTAAAATATTCATTATAAAAACTTTAGTTTTACTAAATAATTAAAAAAATACTTTGAAAAAATCGATATGTATTATCTTTAAATGCTATTCCATAATCAATAATCGTTTCTGTAAAAATCGAATCACTAGATTTTGCTGATGTATGAAATGATGCAAAAGATGATTGATTCGCTTTATTAATACCAGTTGCTGATAATATATAATTATGATGATTATTTGCACGTACAACATATTCGGATTCATTTAATTTCTTTTGTTCAAGAAATTTATCATATTTATTATTTAATTTTAATGTACTTGTTAAACTTTCGAGATCATCAATTGATAATATTGAACTGATAATATTATTAGGTAGTAAACATACAAGGTCAGATGAATTTCTAAAATTATTATTGATAATGAAATTTTTATCTATAAAAAGATTTATCTAGACAGATTATTATGAAATGTAAACGTATTCAATGTTGATTAATAGTCAAGGACACGTCAGTACGCATAATTATCATATTTTTTCTACAACAAGGTCTCTGTATTATATCGATAAGAAGTAACAGCTGAAAAGCTACATACCGTCTCTCGTATTTCATATTTGACTTAGAGAATTATTAATATTTTACAGGTTTAAATATAATAATCTGTAGTAGGAAAAAATTCCATAATAAACAACTGACGCTCGTCCGCGGACTCGCTTAACTCTTTCTTGTAGAAATGTATCCTCTTCATATTTACTAGAAAAACCATGAAAAATCGATTTTCAATGTTTTTTTGACCTCTGTCCTCTCTTTAGTCCTCGCTCTCCACATTGGTCACCCAATAAACCTCAAATTCGAAGTCCCCGCATCGAAATACCTCTAGAAACGTCTTTTTTGAATAATCAATTTTAAATGTTTTTTTGACCCTGTAGACACCTCTACGAGAAAGAGAATAGAGATATGAGTTCCAGGTAAACTATTGATTTTGTCTATTTCTACATATATCATTTAACATTAAAAATAATTTATGAGTCTATATGTACATATGCTTTAGTTTATTACAGTCAATATATAAATATTTAATATAATAAGTAAATATATCTAACCTGTTTTCTTCCAAATTGACAATTTTATTAACAACTTTTTTTAAACATCTTGCTATTTCATTAATAAGACTTCTTGCCTGTAATTTTATTTTAAAGTTTCGTCTTTTGAATATTTTTTGTGTATGACACATATGTCTGATAGTATGTTCACGACATATATTATATTCTAATGTTAATGCATGTAAACATGGTGGATTTCGAACTGCATAACAACGTCGATGTTTCATTAGAATATATGTATGTGTTTGTTTTTCTTTAGGTGCTGGACTTTTTGGTGTTGTTGCTGCTGTTGATAGTATTGGTTTTCTCGCTGCTATTGTTGTTGCCATTGATGATAATGATAATGAAGTAGATGGTTGTGAATTAAAGTCATGTTTCTCTGATAAAAATACGATATCATCATCTTCTGCTTTCTTTTTTGGCTTTTTCTTTCGTGGAGTTCTTCGTTTAGGTTTTTCATTATTAACTGCTGCTTTTCTAACAATTTGTTCATCAGGTTGTGTTACTAGTTGTGGTGGTAGTGGCAGCGGTGGTGGTGGTGGTAATGGCGATAATAGCGTTGTTGGTGTTGATGTATCCATACATAAAGCAAATGTTCCATCGGAACAACGTGTAACATAGAGTAGATCTAAATTTTTTGGATCGGTATTATCACAATGAAAATTCACGTTATGTTTTTCGAAAACATGTTGATATAAACTATGATGTGAATACGTATAAAATGGACATTGAGGACAAAAGAATATATGAGAAAAAATATGTTGAAGTATTGCCGTACTAAATAAAAAAAGAAATAAATTACGGATAAATAAATTATTTAATAAGTAAACCTTGAGTCACTTTTAAATTTACAAATATTACATCGGTAACATTTGGAATCATAAAAAGCCGATAGAATACCAGTACCATTAAGTGGTTGACGACGAATTTCTGGTGTTGTTACAGGAGTTATTATTGAAGCAGGAGATGATAGATGAAATCTTGATTGAAAGATGGATTCCGGTTGATGATGAACTGGTAATGAAGGTGCCGGTCTCTTAATTATTAGAATTTTGATGGTTAGATAATATCTTTAATGGATATTAAGTGAGAAAATTCAGATTTTATATATTTTACTATATAAACAAATTATATTTTTACATCTATCATGTGAAGTCAAGGTTATTAGAACATGACAAACAGTACATTTATATTTCTATCAGAAAAATATTTAGAAAAACTATATATGCATACCAAAGTTTACAAATAATTTGATACAGAAAAATATTTCTTTTCTGGTACATTCGTGTAAATTAGATAAAAATGTTGTATAAAAAAATTTATTCGATTTTTATAACTATATTAGTCATGCTTTGAGGAAATTTCAATAGGATTAGTTTGTATATGTATAGTTTCAAGGACTTATACATAGATGTACTGATTTTGCACTAGTTTCCCTTGAACAAGAGACCAAATTATTATTTAGACATATTCAGCTTACAAATAACATCATGTCAAATCGACCAATCATTAAAGAAAACATTGATCTTGATACTCCCCCGCTTAAACGTTTATCTAATATTCGATATAACATATTTTGTTTAATTAATGTACGTTATAGGTGCTTGGTGACAAAAAGAACGAAAAAAAACCATGTGGTCAATACGAACGTCTCTTGCACTTTCAGCTATTATCTACCGATTCACTTGACTGATTCAAAAAAAAACATCCGAGACTGTATTACTCACTAACTTGTAAAGGTCAAAATAATGTTTATTTATGTTTTGATTGAATAATGTTTTATGATAAACAAGATGTATTTTTCAAAAAAACGATAGTAAATTAAAATAATTAACTTACAGGATGTGTATAAGATGTTGGAATATTTTTTCTTGGTGGAACACGTTGTGCCATAGGTCGAATGATAGATGATGTTGGTGAAGGTAAAGGTAATGTTAATGGTGGTGGTGGTGAATTTGAAGACATTGGTATATTGATTAATTTTCTTTGAGGTTGTTGTATATATGAATCATTTTGATGCATAGATGGAATCAATGAACTTGTATCGATTTGATCTAAATGACGTTTTGCCACATTTATCATATTAGATGGTGGTGCAAATGATGATAGTCGTGGATTTAAAGGATTAGGATTTGGATAGATTCTTGAAGGTGTTTGTGCTTCAGCTGACCAATCGAAAGCAAGAAATGAATGAGATTCAGGTTGCCGATACATATAATCATTATGATTTATTGTTGTTTCTCTATCATGTTCATAATTTTCAAAACTTTGCGATGTTTGCATTGGATTATAATTATCATGTCGTTGTCGTTTAGACCAATTAACTATTGTTGGATTTATACGAACATTTGCATTCGTAGATTTTCGTTTTTTATGTGGAAAATTATCGCTAAATGCACTTGTGAATGAATTACTATGTGGTATATGATGTTCTGTTTCATCTTCATCATCATCATCCGTTAAATATAATAGGGGTGGAGAATACGAAGATGCCATAATTTTTTTATGAAATGTAGTCAATCAATGTGTTTCTTTTTTTTCCTTCTAGTAAGCAAAAAAAAGAAAACAACAAGTAGAAATAGAACCAACCGAATATTTTTACTAGCGCCACTAGCGTATTTAGTTTGTTTACGACTTGTCACGCCAGAGAAAAAAATTATATGAATGGCTAAAAGGAGACGTATTTCAAAACGTGTTTTACTTTGGTTCCTTGATTGTTATTACTCATTACAATTATTAAAAATAAAAACTATTTTTCATTGGGAATATTACCTAAATGATTCAATGATTTTGCAGATTGTCCGTAGGAAAAAAGACAATGTACTTTTGTATGACTCGTAAAAGAAACCAAGTAGTAGTGCGTTGTTACTCTTGAAGTTTGAATTATTCCCACCTATAGAACGCAAATGTATACAAAATCACACCATCTTTTCTTTCGTCAACTATTTGACGAAAATAAGTGCTTTCACTTCAAAAATTTAGTATTTTCAATATTTAACTCTGTTGTCGAAAGTAATAATACTTGTATTTTTATGAATCAATTTTAACTAAATATTAATATTAAAAATAAAAAATATGCATTCGATAAATTTTATTTCATAACAATAACCCGGTAATTTCCAACGACAGCGTCATACTGAATTATATATATACTAAAAAATACTTTAGTGAATTGATTCTTTTATACGTCATTTATACTCATGTTAAGGTTCTGCGGGAACGATTTTTTCTCGCGTGAACTGAAACGATATTAAAAATTGATGTTCCCGAAAATTATCTTGTCGTGATTCCTATGAATTTATATATGTTTACACAAAAAAGATTTATTTTTATAACCGATATACATATAACTGACAAAGGATAATGAACAAGATTTATATGAATAGACAAGTTCGTTCAAGATACATTAAAAAACATATTCAGCTTTCACATAGAGAATTTCTAGTCAATCGATGTTCCAATCATAAATTTAGCTTTACTGTGATATCATATTTATTTTACTGAACAATGTATGATGTCGCGAGAAACTAGTGTACAGAGATGATATTCGTCCGAACGCAAATAGTGAAACACGAACACATATTTCAAAGTGCTTACGGGAACAAGGAAATTTTCTTTGGTGACCGTGAAGAAGAATAAGAAAAAACGTTCTCGCAGGATCCTAACTCATGTGGATTCTAGTATTGAACAACAAATTATCGTAAATTCGAGTATAAATCATGAGTTGTACTAAGAACACTAAATATTCTATCAGTTAATCTCACTACACATTGTATTGATGCAATATTTAATAGATATAGGCATATCTAATCCGGATATATTCGAAAGTTTATCTTATTACTACGTAAAACAAAAACATGGTTTTTGTTCTGCAATATTCACACGAACGACGAATTTAAATTGAGACTATCCATTGTAATTTAACTTTCACTTCATATTTGTCGTCACATTTAATATCAGATAAGCTATTTAACACATAATTCATGATGTCTATCAAATAATCCTAGGGCTGAATTTTCAAGATTTATTCTGCTACATATTATTAAAGTCTTCATTAAAAATTGCTTCATGCTAAGATTCTTTTTTTTTCTAAACGAATGCTTTCATTTGTTTCATTTTATAATGCTATTATCGATTTGAACGTAGTTCATAAATTGAATTCAATTATTCATGCAGCAGATGTTCTCTCTTCGCGCAAGAGTAACCTGTCGCTTTTTTTTTCACTCAGCATGAATGTAAAGTTTTTCTTTTCTTTTTTACACACATATTTAGCACGTCTATTCTTTCCGTTTCTCTTCTCTTCCTTCTTCAATATTCGATTGACGTTATCCCCTCTGATTTCGTTTTTCTCTTTTTTTTTCTTCTCCGAATGTGCGTGTGCGCACGCGCGCCTTTCCTGTCGAATTTTCTCTGAACATAGCAGCCGAGAAAAGAAGAAAAGAATACGAACGACCGGACAAGCGAACGTTCATTGTTCTTTCACTCACGAACAAATTGACTGCTATTGGGACATTTTATTAGGAATGATCACGAAACGGTAAGAAATATTTAATTAATATCTGATTTTTATTTTGAATGTAAAAAAAAACTTTTCTAGGCAAAGTTGTAGTCGAAGTAGCTTTACTGAAGATGAATTAGATTATAGTGAAAATTCACCAATTATCAAGAAAATATCAACAACAAGAAAAAAATCTTATAAAAAATGGACAAAAGAAGAAGTAGGAATAAAAATTTTAGTTTTATGAATGTTTATTTTATTTTTTAATAGGATGAACGTTTACGAGAATTTATTAATTCTCATGATGGTTTTAAAGATTGGTCTAGTATATCAAAATATGTGGGTAATGGTCGTACAGATGCTCAATGTCAACATCGTTGGGAACGTTTTCTTGATCCATCAATAACAAAAGGACCATGGACAGATGAAGAAGATAAAAAAGTTATTGAACTTGTACAAGATTATGGTGCAAGACATTGGAGTTTAATTGCAAAAGAATTAAAAGGACGTGTTGGAAAACAATGTCGTGAAAGGTTTATAGAATTACAAACTAAATTAAAATTTAATTCTTCTCTTTTTTTGTAGATGGCACAATCATCTTAATCCATTGATAAATAAGAATCCATGGACAAATGATGATAATCTTCGTTTATTTATATTACATCAACATTTTGGGAATAAATGGGCAGAAATAGCGAAATATTTTAATGGAAGATCTGATAATTCAATTAAAAATCATTGGAATTCATCGATGAAAAAGAAATTTTATTTAGAAGTTGAAAATCTTAAAAAACAAGGACTTGATTGGACAGCACTGTAAATATAAAAATTAAAGAAAATATATTTATCTTGATTGAATTTATCTTTTTTGTAGAATTCCATCGGATTTTTCTTGGCCAAAATTCGATCAATCAACTTCAACTACTACTAATCATTCATCTCGGATGGCATTAGGTACATTAACAAATCGAACAACACAAATACGATCTTCACATAGGAAAGAAACTATAGCCGAGAATATACTATCACCTGTATCTATTATTAAAACAGAAAGTTTTGTACCAAATGTGAACAGTAATAATAATCATCAACAAATTTTTCCAACTATTCAACATCATGATTTTAAAATTTCATCACCACAACATGTTGAAACTATTTATTCTGATCCAATTCAGGTAAATTCATTTTTTACAAATTAGAAACGTAGAAATTTCATTATTCGAGAAGGAGCAGATCTCGATTTTCAACGACTATAAGATTCGCTCAACACAATTCGCAAATTGTATTTGAATTGAATGCTTTCTATTTTCATTAAAATTTCCTCGTAAAAAACTGATAGTCACTTTGTAAATACACTCTATTGTTTATCATGAGACTTAGATTCAATAAACATGGATGTTAATTATCTGAATCGGACAAGCTATTATTTGGATCAATACAACTTATTTTATACAACACATTGAAATATACAGAGCGTTATATTTGTTCGTAATATTTTTGATGTACACATTCAATTATGCTTCGCATGATTAAGGAACCATAGAAGTTAATGAGGAATTTATTCATTTCTAAAGTGAGAGACATTATATAGATTTTTTCATCAAACTTTAAAAAAACGTTTCAACATTATTTCACATTTTTGAGCTGTTCAAAAACTAACTTTGAAAAGAAATGTGCTTGATAAATAATGTTCGTATTACAAGAGTTCATTGATGAAATGATATCTATTCGTTCGGATCAATATTAGTTATCTCTGACATACAGATTCTTTAAAACAGCTTTTATCTACTTTTAGTCTATATCTTCGTCTGAAGTCTCGACCGATCTTCTTCGACATCAATCATCTCAAGATCTCGAGCATTTATTCTATTATAATTCTCCATCACCAATTCTGCAATTACCAATGTTATCCTCTTCTGCTAATTATACACCTTTGTCAAGTCAAAATTCTCAGCCTGAACAACAACAACATCATCAATCATTATTTCATTCTCAATCATCAATTGATTATTATCCATTACATTCACATACAAGATCATCATCATTACCTGTATTTACTTGTTCATCACAATCATCATTATCACCACATATATCGTTATTATCAACAGATACGAACTTATTTGCAAATGATGATACATATTTAGTAAAATATCATGAAAATATAGTTGTTTCACCGACAAATATTTCAAATACATCATCACCTTCAAAATATCGTGTACTTAATACACCAGAACGAGTATGTAACTCATACATTCATTAAAATCTCAAAAACAAATATCTCTTCTATTTAGCCACATTTAATTTGTCTAACACCAAGTCCAAAACGAGATTGTTTCAAGTAAATTGAAATGATTCAAATAAAATTTATTCTATTTTCATCTTCTAGTGAATATCTTCCATTTTCTGAACCAATTATTTCTGAAAATTATCCATCAATATGTTTCAATAAATATGATGTATCCAAAAATTTGCAAGAAACACTTGGAGTAAAAAATTTTCCTCAATCACCATTGTTTATCATATAAGTTTTCTTTCTTTAGTATAATCCAACATATACAGAAATTCTACTCGGACAAACACGTGATCAACATTATGTAACTGAACAAGCTCGTCGATATCTATGTTATTCTTCATTCAATAATTCCTAGGAAAATTTTCTTTTCATTACTTAAGCATTGTGCTATTTTTAGTGAAATGTTTTTTGAGAGAGAAAAAAAACCAAAAACATTCGCTTACGGTTTATACAGTTCATATTTTTCTGTATATATTATGTTCAAAACAAAATTCATTTATTTATTATTAGAGAAATAATTCGCGTTTTTTGTTTTTTATTTACATCTTTGTATATATTTTCTTTTGTGTGTATGTATTAAAGTTGATTCAAAAAAAAAAATAACAATGGAGCATGATGATTATAGGTTAACAAATATTTTCATAGATTATTGCGGAAATTAAGACGCTTGGATATAGATCAAAAAAAAATTTTATCGAAGCCTAA